TTTGAATGAGACAGAGACTAAGCCACTCGAATAAAATCAAAATACTCCATAGTATTTACATAAATACGTTAGTTTCCTATTAATGAAGATACTAGCTTATTTTGCTCCCCATTTGACTTTTGAAATTACCCGGCATATCGACCCGAAAGTTTGAACTTCAGAAGTTTGTCAAAGAAATAGTTTCAATAGAGAAACCGTTTGCAAATGTCCGCTAGCCTCGTGAGATAAAAAAGTATATGTAAGTGAAATACGACGCAGAAATGTTACAATCGTAAACATTTACCATATCTTTTTCCCGAAAACAATAAACTGAACAATTACAAAGATAAACGAAACACAAGAGGAGAGAAAAATAGAGAGATTGTGTAAAAATGTAGAGAAAAATTGAATTTGTTCAGAAATAATAATCTGAAATAACTGATGACTGACTTAGCAATTATCCTGAATACTATCACAATTTTAAGGTTCGCTGCTGAATAGGTGGTCAAATCAATACATCCTTATTCTCCAATAAAAGTGAACATGCATTTTATGATACACCTGATGTAACCATCCACTAATATAGATTTGAAATATCTTTTTGTAAGTGTATACATATCACCAGACCATTATTAATATTATTTTCTTATCATTATTTACCACTGTCGTTCGAGCAATTCAGTGGATCACTTCTTAAATTCACTTTTGATGCTTTCATTCACCAATTATACAGTGCATTTCTTTAATGCCCCCCCCTTTCATTTTTTGAACGAGTAAACTCAAAAAATTGAAATTTGGGATAGTGAAATTGACAAATGAAACTTTCAAGATAGCGTAAGACAAGTGAGAAACTATTTAGATACTACTTGTCCCGGTCGTTGGATTGGCCGTCGAGGTCCTCTACTGAACGGCCAGCCCACTCGCCAGATTTGACACCTTTGGACTTTTTTCATGGGGCTATTTGAGGCAAAAGGTGTACGGAATTGAATCTGCTTCAATATTGGATATATGGCAGAGAATAATAAATATTTGTAGAGATATTGACGTTACTGTATTCGAAAATGTTCAGCGTGAAATATCAGATAGGCTGTTCGTATGTCGAAAAGTTCAAGGCAACCATTTCAAGCATCTTCTGAACTGACCTCAAGCTTATTACCTCATATTAAATGTCAATGTATTCAGGCAATTATCAAAAATTTCGCCATTTTGTAGTAGTTGAAGATATTACCATTATATTCTAGGATTCTGAAGCATTTATCAGGAGCTTCAAAAAGGTGTGTCACAAGACCCTCCTTTCCATTTTTTTTCCAGATGGCGCCCAATCGCCATTTTGAAAGTTTCATCTGTCAATTTCACTTCAAAATAAAGTATTCATGTATTAATTTCATTATCCCAAATTTCAATTTTTTGAGTGACCCGTGCAAAAAATAAAAGGGGGGGGCATTAAAGAAATGCACTGTATAAAACGGTATATTATTGAATTTGGAGATACAATCATAACTTAACGACTTAGCAAGTATACAATTTGTTCAATGCAAAGTATCCAGAAAGACCTATTAATATGCTTGGTGATGAATAATTAAGGGTTTTCCTATCCTATGAAAATCGACATTGTTGAGGTGATTTTTTAGAAGTTTTTACTTACTGACACACACAATAAACAGAATAAACCCTTTCCTAGATGCTAATACTAGTTAACAAATCTTTCTTTCAGATGAAGGTACCATATATAGAGTAAATGAAAGATGAAATTATTTTATTCCCAAGAATACAGCTGATTCAGTTGGATATTTTTCGCATTAAAGATAGGTAATAACCCGAAACCAGTCTGTAGGTGATCTACTCAAATAATTTCAGTAAGGACCTGCTGCTGAAAGAACGAGAAAGACCTGTTGCTGAAAGAACGAGAAACATCTGCCAAACTGTCCTCTACTAACACTTGAATAAGTATCTGTTCGGATATAAGTCAGTGTCCGTGGTAGTAGCCAGGAAACTAGTTATTTTCCGACACACCAGATCCTTGAGTGTCGGATCATTGAAAGATGTGAATGAAACGAATTTTATTTGCTTGTTGGGAAGATCCCAAGTTGTTGAAACTGGTCATAATTCATCCTGTAAAGATTATTTCACCATAGAAATTTTCATGTTACTATTTTTTTTTGTTATGACAATCTTCAAGTATCTCAATGTTCAATTAGCAGTACGCCAAGTTTTTCCCATTTCATTTCATAAACTAGTGATTCTTTATGAAATCACTCAAAACAAACGACAAGAACTGCCATGCCTCAAATACATTTTCGTGGTGTAATTATAATTCGATTGGGTATACGTTTCAATTTATGTGGAGCGGGAAGCAAATTCTTTATGTAAACAGTTTTATCAAGTGAATTGATCAACACGCAACTAATTTTTTTCATCAGTCTGAATAATTCTCTTCAATGATGTCATCCTTTCATTGAATATTACAAAACGACATATAAAATAAACTAGTCTCAATAAACATGATATCGATTTCATCACGAAACGAATATATAAACATACCTCCTCATGTCGCGTATAAATACTGAACAAATCGGTATACATATAAGAGGTACATAAATATACCGGTCAGAAATATGAGTCTTGAAGTGCAATTTAAATCTATTGATACAGATCACATCAAAAACCTTTACTTCATTCAATTAGAACATATTCTCATAACAATTACAAATAAACATGACAAAAAATAGTTAAAAATTAATTGGTGGATGTAGCCGTTACCACGTAGACTGGAAAAAGTGCATGTTTTGAGTTTATCTGAATTTGATGATAATAGTAATAAAACAGATGAAAATTATGATAACGGTGGAATTTAGATCCTGTGGAATACAATTTCTCATACTGACTTATCTGAAATGGGACCATTGTTATACAATTCGAAGAAATTCAACATACATTTTTGATTCCCAGTATTGTAAATATTCCTCTTGTTCTAGAAATTACTTTAAACAAACTCGTTTGATTCTGAAACAGGAGAAATTTCGAATTTCTACTTTGAACATACAGAGTGTCAATTTGATGAATTCCCACCCTGAATATCTTCCTTCGGGTAAATAATATGAGGTATCAAAAAAACAAGTCAATTTTATAGTCAAAGGGGGCACTTTCAAGGAATATTTGTCGCCCTCGTGGTTCAACTCCCAAGGAGGGGTAGATGTTACCCTTAGAATCTTAAATGGGAATGGAAATGGCATATCATTCTCATATGCGTTCAATTGTGTTTCCAATGGCACCCTGACTTTTTATTTCTCAATAAGCAATTTACAAAAAATTGCGTTCTACACTCACACATGTAGAATTTGCCTGTTCTGAGATGCATTGTATTGGCTCCTTTTAATAAAAATGGTTAGAAGAGTAGGTGGTACCGTTCTAATCCTTGAATGACAGGAATAATTGTATAACGCGTGGGATTTTTTATTTGTTGGTTATTTTCCTTTTAAAAAATAAAATTTAATTTGTGAGAAAAACATTTCAATCATAAAGTCTACTTACACTTATCTTATAAACTGTTCGGAACGTCGTCCATTTTATCTAAACAGTAATAAAGTCTCTTTTCGAACTCCTTTCTAACATTTCGAAAAACTTCACTAGGAATTGACTGACATGCTGCTGTAAATCGTCTTTCAAGTTCTTCAATATCAGAAGGTTGGGTTTTATAAAGAACGGATTTGAGATGGCTCCAAAGCAAAAAATTTAAGGGTGTTAAATCTGGTGATCTCGAAGGCCATTCAACTGCTCCCCTTCTGCTAATCCATCTATCCGGAAATCCCTCGTTTAACCACTGTCGGACGGAAAGAAAATAATCAGATGGAGCACCGTCCAGCCGGAAATGTAACAGAACCTCCTGCAAAACTTTGTTACCTTCTCCATCCATTTGAGTTTGTAGTTCGTGAGTTACAAGAGGATTGATAATCTCTTCAAGCATTTCGAGGTACAGATTGCCAGTCAAGTTTTCTTCCAGAAATAATAAACAAATGATGGCATTTCCAAAAATACCGGCTCAAACATTAACTTTTTGTGGGTGTCGTCACTCCAATAGCAACAATTTTGTCTATTAACATTGACATTCAGAAAAAATTAACACTTATCGCTGAACACATATTTAAAAGGAGATTAGGGATGGTATCGACTCGATGAAACATGATTTCACATAATTCCTGAAAACAGAATTTTTTACTTCAGAAGTAGCGAAAAAAGATGGCTATCTATAACTTTCTGCGATAAGAATTGGAAATTAAGCATTTACTAAACACAACTTTACTACCATCATCGTTTTACTATTAAACTAATATTTGATGTGAATTATTTGTAGCTAATCACTAATGTTGCTCCTGATAAAGGGTTGGAACGGTACCACCTAATATTCTTACCAGTTCTGGTCCAACCATGCATCTCAGTATATCATATCTATAATAATTACTTCTGTTAGTTTAGGGCGCTATTTTCGGAAAATTCCCATCAAAAAATAATAAGTCAGGGTACCATTGGAAGCAGAATTGAACGCCAATCAAAATAATAAGTCACTTGACCCTCCTTCCAATTTTAAATTCTGAAGGTAACATCTACCCCTCTAAGGGGGTTGAACCACAAGGGCTACAAATCGTCCCTAAAAGTGTCCCCCTTAATAATAAAATTGACCTATTTTTTAGATTCGATGGGAAGTTTTCAAATTGACACCCTGTATTATTTACTCTGCACGAATGTGAATATTTACCAGTCTTGTACAAAATCCAAAAAAAAAAAATTTGAAATGTTCAAAATTGAATTAAACACTGATAAATATACTTGGACCTCATGAAATATTGAATATCTCATAAGATATCGATTAGAAATATCAACTCAGATCATGAAATACAAATGACTATTTGCATTTTGATTGTGCAAAACCCATAATGACAACTCATTTTTTCTTCGAATTGATAACAGTGTACTTGGTATGACTATCACATCTAAGTAATGTGTATAATATAAAATATACTTACTGCAAACTGAAACAACTGGCACTGAAACAAAAAAATATATATTAGTAATGGCGGTGGTGAATGCAATAGATACACCATACAGTTCAACCAGAATATCTTTTCAAGTCCGTTAGATAATGAAAACTGAATTTAAATTCATAGAAACATATATCAGTTGGAAATTACACTTGCTAAAAAAGTTCTTATTCAAAGTAGGACAACAACAAAGTTCAACAATCTGACGGTGGAAAATTCATAGGTATTTCCGAGTACGTCACATATCATTTTGATAATGTTAAAATGATAAATAACTCATAGAATATAATCAGGATGAGAGCATTATAGAAAACTTTCATTATGAGACCAGACAATGAAAATAAATACCTCTGCTTGTTTTGGATGATAATACCTTTTAATTTATTTAATAGATAGTCCGGTCAAATTAGACTGAAAAATAACAGTGAAGGTAAATAAATTTACAAGCTGCAAATGCGTGCAATTGTTCAAAACCTTGTTGAAAATTAGATTTTAAAATTCCGAATGATTGCGGAATTGGTTTTTCGCGATTTTCAGGAAAACGGTTTTATCATAAAATAACTTCAGATAAAAATTGTAGATCATGAAATTCTCTACAAAAAATGTATCGATACTTTTTTTTCTTAAAGCCACCGTTTCTGAGATACAACGAGTCAAAAAGTTATAAAAGTTGTAATCGTCATTATATGCATAAGTATGCCACGTATATACATCTCCGAATATTGAAATTAACAATACTAATACGACATACATCTTTGATGGTGGATACTCACCACATCGTGTTGTGTGCGATAGTGAAGAAACATTTAGCATTATATTTTTAGATAAATATGTTCAGTATGTACGTAGACATATTGGGTCCAGAATTACGGTCGTATTTGATGGCTATGATGATGATTGCACGAGAGATATTAAAGCTGCAGAACAACGTCGTCGAACTTTAGCAACATCTTCATATTCCGATATTCTATTTGATTTGACTCAGATGAATAAATTTTGACATTTTTTTAATTTCAATCGCTTTTATAATTTCCAACCCTTTCTTATATATTTTATTATGCAAGTTTTCAATTTGACAGAATCACAACAGATATGTGGTATAGGCCTGCTGGGGAAACCACGTTAAAAAAACGCGCTAAGTACACTACCTCATAGGTGGCGTGGAAACGCGTGAATATAATGACGATTACAACTTTTACAACTTTTTGACTCGTCGTATCTCAAACGGTGGCTCTGAAAATTTCGAAAAAGCAATTTTTTTCGAGATTTTTGATCTTTGACCTCGACTATTTTTTTCCCAGGCATCGCAGTCATTCGGAATTTCAAAATCTTATTTTCAACTATGTTTTGAACAATTACACGCATTTGCAGCTTGTTGTAAATTTATGTACCTTCCATTGTCTAGATTGACCGGATTAAGAGAAGTTTGAAAATAGATTTCTAATAATCATTTGAATTTTGAAAATTCATCAAAAATAATTCAGTGAATGCAACATTATAAAGTTTTTTCATTTCAAAAGTGTAATGAAAAATGTTTATCCATTTTTTTCATTATTAGAGTTGATACTTTTAAATCACTTTTGCTTCCTAAATCTCGATTTGAATTCAATATGTCAGATTTTGAGGTATTCAAGTAACATTTTACTATAAGATATTTCATGAACAGTTTAAAAAACCACATCACGTGTTTCACAATACAATATTTTTCTCAGGTGTGTTCATAGAGTGTGTCAAAACAATACTTTTTTGTGAGATTTCCACTAAACAGTTTATAATACCGTTTATAATAACGCCTGAGAAGTATCAGGCCTACCACATAGATGGCATAGATGTCATAGATGGAATAGATGGAAATTATTAAATTCACTGATTTTTCAGTTAGTGCTAACCTTCAAAAGAAAGCTGTTGAAATTTCATGATATTATACTTAAAAGTTTGTGAGTTATTGGGCTAAAAGTGACACTCCTTTTGTTATTTTCAAAACATTGGATCAAAAACAATTTCGTGTTTTAATTTTACACTGCTTCGTGATCGGAAAAAATACAGTTCAAGCGAAGCAATGGCCTGAAAAGTGTTTTANCCCGCATATATCATATTCGCCAGATTTGGCTCCCAGCGACTTCTGGCTGTTCGCACATTTCAATTATTTGAGGCAAAAATGAAGCGTTCTACAAAAGTGGTATTGAAATGTTAAAACGGCGCTGAAATAATTTTGTAGCTCTTGATGGAGATAACGTTGATGAATGAAACCAATTTGGGATGAAAAAAATTTTGAATGAAAAAAAAACGCGTTTTCTTTCTTAGGCTTCGGACTTTTCAACCCAGGCGTTAATAGCTTCCTCAGGCGTGAGGAACATGTGTTGCGGTTTTGTAATTTCGTCAAAATTCAACAAGAAATTGTTATTGAAAACACTTTTTCAATAGATTTGTTTCAGAGGTTCTAAATTTCACCTATCGAAGAAATATTACTTGAATACGTTATTGATTTTCATCAGGCATCCCATATCACAGATTTTAGTGTATTCACAAAAGTTGATTTCTGTAAGCTATCAAACTCCCCACCAAACCTTTCATCCGCTACTGTGGCGAATATCATCAGTGTTATGTTCGTTGTTACTTCACGTTGGTACTCATTCACGCCAAAATGGCTGAACGGGTTTTGATGAAATTTGACACACAATACTTTGGAAGATTATGACATACATAATGAGAAAAATTGTATGTTTGTATATTTGGATGTTTCCTGACAATACAAATAAGGCTAAGCTGATTTAGATAGAATATGGCATACAATTTATAATCTATAATTTTTATTCCGGTTAATGGCAAGGCTTATTGACTTTATTCATTTATGTTAATACCTATATATGAACTATCTTCTACTCGTATCTTCATCTGCATAGACATCAAAATTGGATTTGAAGAGAATTGAAACTATTTGTGAAATAAACAAATTGAAGTCCACACAGACGAAGATGCAAAATCAAGCCATTGCATTGCAATAAATGTTTCTAAGTATAGAAGACGTCTGGTTATCCAGTACACTCGAACTTCAAAATAAATCTAATACGTTCTATATGTGAATACATGGGACCTTTCAACCAACCTTAAAATATAATTACGTCGGTTTCTTGATGTAGGGAGGAACTTTCTGAACTAATTGGATATTTTACAGAAACTAACTTGAATCTATCAAAGAGGAATATGATTTCGACAGATATTTTAGTAATAGGATGACGCTTAAAATTTCTGTAATAACGAACTATTCACTTGCTTTTCATTTGACAGAAAATCAAATTTATTTTCACATATATTTAATTTTTGAGCTGACATGTTAAAGTCTCATCGATGATTTTTTATTGCCGTTCCAATTGGGAATGGATAGACTATACCCTAAAAATTATCATAATGGAAAATCTAGATTTTTGACCTAACGACACACTTCTATTCAGTACCATATATAGGAATGGGGAATCCAAAATTCAAATGCATCGATATCCAAAACTGGACAGAATATCTTCACATGTCCTGTTTACAGGTTTTTGAACTCATAATACTTTTTTCGATAACTTTTTTCGAACTAACCTGTATAGTCACTAGTATATTATTGTATCAATGGACACATTCAATATATCTTTGTTTATTTAGCAACTGCAGAATGTATAACCATTTTTCATATCACCAACTGTATATTCAATTGGGATTTGGAGTATTTATTCATCACTGAGATGAATTAAAGTAAGGATGCAATAAGACAGTTTGAAATATAGTAGTAGAGGTTTTTCCTAATGGCTAACATACATAATCACAAGTAAACTAACCGCAGTGGTTTACCAGACGAGAAGATTAAATCGTTGAGGTGCTCTTGGATTTTATTGACTGGATAACCACTAAATGTCATGCGAATTCCTTATCTGAAAATAAATATATTTTGTGGTCGAAACAGAAAGTTGAACATATTTTATATTTCAAGATATATGAATTTGACAAAACATTACGTACATAGATTGTTGAAACAGTTATTTTTAACTTAGTAGCAATTGATTGATTGCAAACTGAGCAGAGAAATTAATTATTATTGAAATACCTTTATTCAGTTTGAATATCTTTTCGCCTTATAAATGGTGTGAGTACGAAACGAAAATACTTAAGTGTGCCATTCATTAGTTCATTAGTTTCGATTATTAGAATCCACAATCGTTTACCTATTGATAAATAAATATTTTCAAATATTATAGTCTAATCGTGACTATCTCTCCGATGTTTTGAACGATATATAGGTATCATCATGGTTGGTTTCAGTATCTGTTCCTTTCTGTTGGTTCGTCAGGCCAACATGAGAGCTTCATGTTCGTTTTTTTTATCGCGTGCTTCCGCTCAACGTATTATTTTATTTTCACTGGAGAAGGTTGACTAGGTCTTCTGCATTACCCAGTATTTTATATTCAATTTGATCCAGAAGCCGAAGTAACTCATCCATTAGAATGCAGTGGGGACAATATCCCTCTGAGTGCAGCCCTTTGCTACCCGTGTAACTATTATTTTCTCCATGATGATGGATATTGTCAAATATGTCCTGAACATGAAATATATCTAGCAGCAATATGCGTCTTCTATTCCTCTTTTCGACGCCTGATGATTGATTCTGGAAATGTATTATCGAATGAGACCTTAATATCGAAGAAAATATCTTGAGGTATTTCTCGGTTCTACTTTTCTCATGGTTCAACATAGAGCCGTTTCCATTGACATATTTGACCTATATGCAGTGATCCGTTAGCCAATGATAGGTCCCTAAATGTTTGTTCATTTTTTTATTTTAATGTTTTTGCATATAACATGATTGATCCTGAAGTCTTTGCCTAATCTAATTAGATTATTCCTGCTCATGCTCATGACTCTTGGAATATATTGACTGTGAATCGTGGAGAGTTGGGTCTGCGCTCAACATCATCGATGGCTTTGCCAGCATTTATGTCTTCCATCAACAATGTTTCGCAATTGATAGGAATGATACTTCCAGTCTCCTTTACCAATATAATAGATAATTTAGCCGTAGAAGGCGAATCTATTTAGTGTTCTCAAACCAAAAGTCATGTGCCTAGGGATCTCAAATCACTTCAGAAAGCATGGGACGAACCTTCACTAGAAATCACTTCTGACTCCATCATTTCGTCTTTGTCATCTCCCCCTGAAAAAGCTCGCCTCAAAGCCGTCAATATTAACGGATCTGGTGCTTGGTTGAACTCTAGGAACACTATTAGATAATGATACTTTCAGGGTAACCATTGGGTTCAGATTGGGTTTAGTTATTTGTACTTCTCCTAAATATATTTGTGGTAGTAAGGTAAATAAAAAAGGTACTCATGGTTAAAGCTGCAGGAAGAGTTCTGGACGTTTTCCAAAACATCACTAAGTCAACGACATCATAAAAAGGGCCTTCATATCAGCCGGGATAGCTTCTATCCTAGAACCACTAGGTACTAGTCGTGATGATGGCATTTCCCTGAAAATGTGGCAAAGCTGTCGTTTGGGATTTCACATGTGCGGACACATTGACTCCATCTCATTTATTTGGAATGTCCAAAAATGCAGGTGCTCCTGCCATAACCAATGAGAAGGCAAAACAGCAGAAGTATCGAAATGCTGGAAATAACTTTATATTTCATCCTGTGGCTGTGGAAACTTTCGGTGCATTTGGCCCCTCATCACTAAATTTTGTTCATGAAACTGATCCAAAAAATTAGTTTAGCTATATAGCGTCGTAATTCAGCTTCTGTTTTTGACACCATTCCATCATCATATTCACTGGATGAAATTTTTCTTCATCCCGTTGTTTCCAAATCATATTTATATCCTAGTCACGATGACAGATTGTAACCTCATAAAACCTCCCATATTTCTTCACTTTTAGTCAGTTTAGCTCCGAATTCCTTATCCCACCGATCCAATAAAGGGGTGGAAGATATGAATACTAGTATTTGTAGTATGGAATGCGCTTTAATCGAAGCATTCGCAGAAGTTATTGAAGAATTGTGATAAGATTCATCTGATATAGTAATAAACACCGCCTACTTTGAAAGTAATATTCAAAGATTTGCCCCTCGATTCATGGGATCTGCCCATCAAGACGCGCAGGAATTCCTTCAATATCTTTCAGAAGGTTCACATGAGGACTTCAATAGAATTACTGAGAAACCTAAACCGATCTTAACGGAGGTTGACGACAAATTGAGCGACAGGTGAAGAGCGCAAGAGTCCCGACTGAGATATTTGAACATGAACAACTCTAAGATTGTAGACAATTTCGTTGGTCAATTAAAATCCACTGTATGGTGCACACACTGTGGACACTCATCATTAATCTTAGGATCATTTCTGGGATTTGTCTCTCCCCATACCACAAAATTGGTCACAATGCTTGGATTCCTTCTCAAGAGAGAAAACTCTGGATGAAGATGAAAAACCAATGTGTTCGATATGCATGGAAAGAATAAAATACACAAAGAAGCTTTCGATCCATAAGTTTCCCCGTATTTCACCGTATTCATTTAAAAAGATTTTCTCCGACGGAAAGATTAAGGTGCAAATTGAATGTTGCCATTGACTTTTCTTTAGAAGAATTAGATACAAGCAATTATGCAGCAGACAAAGTGGCTCCTAGTCGTTATAATTTATATGCACTTTCGAATTATAGTGGGACTACTTACAACGGGTATGATACAGCATATTACAGACACCTTTGTAGCGGCATTGAATCGCTTGTGAGTGAGGAGGCATATGTCCTCTTTCATGAACAGGGGGGAACGAAGCAGGACTTCTGTGGTATTTTTTTCTTTTTCTCTATTTATAAACTGAATTCTTTTAATTTATTTTCAATATTTTTTTTCACTTATTTTTCAAGATTTCCATCGGAATAATAACAACAGTTGTGTCTGTTTACAATACCATTCTTCTGAAAACAAATATTGAAAAATAAATGGGTATTACCGTTCACTTGCTGACTCATTTGTTGACATAACTGCAAGCGTACGAGTAAAAGAAAGTAATCATCATTAAGTTATGCATTTATTTCAATCTGACGAAACACTATCCACGAGTTTCATATCCCTTGCCAACGCTGTTATCTAACGTTACATCTCAAAAACGAATCCTTAAGCATATCCACATTAATCAAAATTTTGAAAATCCAGTTGTTAACTATATGGCAAAAAATTTCAAAATTGATTATTCATGGTATACATAACAAAATTTTAAAATCTCAACCATTGTTTGCACATCTAGCAAAATTATTAATTAAATATATTTATATAAAATGCATTCGAAATATGACTTTGGCATGGATCTCTGTTTTCATCAAGATGGAAAATAACCGAAGAAAATATAGTCACGTGATTGATTCGCATTACCTGTTACATTTTAATAAAGAAAAATCAAAAGCGGATTTGTTTCTCCAAATATTGCTATTTAAAAAAATTATTGTAAATTTTGGTCCATATGCAAAATTTTAGCCGCAACACTGTTGTAAAATACAACTAAGCGCAATCTACATAAAATTTACTAGTTTTGACAATATTTTATTCCAGGCCTGGTTTCATTTCCTTTATAGATTTCGGTCACAGGTATATTTTTTATCAACTTTCAACAACAAGGTAACGTCATGAAATATAGCAAGCACCAAACGTGATGGCTAGCACGCATCCATGTGCACAAACTTATTTTCAATGTAACCTCACCACAGCACTTGCAAGACATACAAATGCTCTGTACAGAGGCTTATCATTAGTTGTTCTCCAATGCTGTTGGCGTTTGACATTGTCTGAATAAATTGTGTTGTTTCTGAAAAAATGTCATTGCCAAACGAAACTTCATTTTTGGATAAGTGTATCATTACCATATAAAGGTGCGTATTCACCAAAAAAGCGAGCAAGAGCGAGCATGAGCGAGCATTCGTGTATGTTCGCTCATGTTTGCTCGTGTTTGCTCGACATATTGATGTCTCGTCCACACCAGAGCGAATATCTTCAAGTTCGTAGTCGTAGATGATCCATCTACTTTGTGCGAGCACCTTTTGATGTACCGCCTTCTTCTCGATCTTTTCTGAACGCGAACAAGCATACGTTCGCTCGCTCGCTAGCCCATACTCACCAGACGATTATTGATGCAGAATGCTCGTTCACTCTTGTTCGCTCTTGTTCGCTCGTACTCGCTTTTTTGGTGAATACCCACCTTAACATGCCTGCAAACAAAGCATAGCGACTAATCATTCTGCATCGCGGAGGAAGTAAAAGATGGGTTCCGAATTGTTATGTAGAAAAAACTTGAGAACTGCAATGTTGACTATCATAAGATGCAAATAGTGTATCTACCTGATAGTTCTTGACAACTCTTCTTATCATTCGCGACAGCTCATCAAAGTACCGAATAAAAATTCGAGGAAAGATGAAATACAAAGTTTTTTAATGAATAACAATTTGTATTTTGAAGATTATTATACCAAAAATCAACTACTTGAAGTTTTACAGACAGAAACATTTGAAAAAGTGTATGCCCTTGAGAGTATT